ATATCAAACAGAAAGTAAAAAGACATGTTGATTTAACGTTGATTATATCAACGTTAGTTTATTACCAATACATCAACATGGAATAAGCGTTGAAAATGCCGACGTTGAAATTTCCTCTTTGTTCAGACGTTGAAACAACGCCATTTTCTTTAACGTTAGTTTATCAACTATAAATCAACGTGGAATAGACGTTGAAATTTCCGACGTTGACATTTCAACAATGCGCAGACGTTGATAAGACGTCGTTTGCTTGCTGGGATATATATATATATATATATATATATATATATATATATATATATATATATATATATATATATATATATATATATATATATATATATATATATATATATATATATATATATATATATATATATATATATATATATATATATATATATATATATATATATATATATATATATATATATATATATATATATATATATATAACGATTAATAGTAAATGAAAAGATTTTTTTTTTGTCAGATCCAAAGATTGCTGAATGAAATTCTTTTAAATACCATTAAAAAATAGTTTTTAGCTCTTTACCAAAACTTAAAGAACTTCGTTAGCAATTATTTGAAAAAATGATTTATTTATTTAGCGTTTTATTTTATTGGAATTGAGCTACTAAATGCAAGATTTTTATACAACAAATTTTTTATTTTAATCTATTGTAAGCGCAATAACATGTGAGCCAAATTTGAAACGTAAATTAATACATCCTCTAAAAAATTTAATTATTTTTTGTATTTGGGGGACCAACTCTACCCAGCCGGCATTATTACGTTGTTTCAACGTTGATATTTGGTTGAAAGGTTGTTTCAACGTTGGTTAACCAAATCGCAACGTTAAAATAACGTTACTGTTTAAACGTTGTGGAAAAGACGTTATTTCAACGTTATTTCAACGTTGACAAAAAAACTCAATTATAAAATATATATATTTTATAATTGAGTTTTTTTGTCAACGTTGAAATAACGTTGAAATAACGTCTTTTCAACAACGTTTAAACAGTAACGTTATTTTAACGTTGCGATTTGGTTAACCAACGTTGTTTAAACGTTGTTGAAAAGACGTTGTTTCAACGTTATTTCAACGTTGACAAAAAAACTCAATTATAAAATATATTTTATAATTGAGTTTTTTTGTCAACGTTGAAATAACGTTGAAATAACGTCTTTTCAACAACGTTTAAATAGTAACGCATAGTTATAACTATGCGTTGAGTTGATGTTTAAAGTAAAATAAGAAAAGGCCAAAAAGTAAATTAAATTATCTTTTAGTATGACACGGAATCGGTTATGCGTTTATACCGCATTATTTGATTTTATAAATATAGTCAGTATTTAACTTCCTACTTGTTTGTAAACTAAAAAAATATGGCTTATTTAAGAAACTGGCGAAAATGCCACTCTAATGTGCTAGCTTTGGCAGAATCATCTTCTAGTAGTGAAGAGGAAAAGCTGGAGAAAAAAAATGACCGTCCAAAAGTTACTCATAACATCAGTCATGTAGAAGAAGAAAAAAATTCAGAAAGCGATTATGAAAGTGAAGATTTTTTGTATGATTATCTGTCTCAAAGTGACGACGATAACGTATTTTTCTCAGAAGAATTTGAGCAAAACAATATTTCACTTGACGAAATGGGCAGTAAAGCATGGTTGTTCACGAGAATGTATAAACGAGTTGTTATCTATACTGATAGCAGAAGGGCATCGTCTACCGAAAGATAAAAGAACGTTGCTTCAGACTCCAAACTCAGTTGTTGTAGAAAGCAAGTGTGGTGGTCAATATTATTACTTTGGTCTTAAGACTGGTTTATTAAATGCTGTTTCTGCATCAAGTAAAGATTGTTTAATTTTTAGAGACAAAAAAATACTAATTGATATAAATATTGATGGCTTACCTTTGTTTAGGTCTACATCAATGAACCTTTGGCCTATTTTATGTAGAATTGTAAATTCTAAGCCTTTTATTGTTGCATTATATTATGGAAAATCTAAACCATCTAATATTTATGAATTTATGCTTGATTTTTTAAACGAATACAAACAACTTCAGTTAGATGGCATATATTTTGGACAAAAGAAGTATAATGTTGTTATTAGAGCACTTATTTGCGATGCACCAGCAAGAGCATTTATCAAAGGTACAGTTAATCATAATGGATATAATGCTTGTGAAAGGTGTACAGTTAAAGGAGCTTGGAATGGAAGGGTGATTTATGAAAATCATATTGTACAAGATTTGCGAACAGATGAAAAATTTAATGAAATGGGATATAAGGCTCATCAAATTACCAAATCGCCTTTAATTTCAATCAATGTAAAATGTGTTCAAGGATTTTCCTTAGACTACATGCATTTGGTATGTCTTGGAGTGGTTAGACGTATTCTGAATTTTTTGAAAAATGGCCCAAGGGAGTATAGATTATCACAGGTGCAATTAAATACTATTTCAAATAGGTTGCTTTTGTTAAAAGGAAAATTT